TGTCATCAACAAAGTTTTAAATTCAATTCTATATAAAACCGGAGGCCAATGTAAATCAATAAGAAGAGGAGTAATTCGACAAACTTTCGGTGTCTTGTAGACGAGTCGTGCACAAGCATTCTGTACCCTCTGGAGCTGATTAATATGAGTACTGGGTAAGCTATAAAACAAACTATTACAGTAATCCAATCTACTTGAGATAAATGCATGAATCAGTGTCTCAGTACATTCCTTGGAGAGATATTTCCGAATGTGTCTAATATTATGCAGATAATAGAATGCGCTACCACAAACCTTAGTAATATGAGTTTTCATATACATATTTGCATCAAACCAGGTACCTAAGTTACGAGCTGTAGCCAAGGGTGAAATGACAGATTCTCCAGCATGAATACCTTCCAAAGTTACCTTGGATATTTGTTGACGAGTGCCAATAATGAAAAATTCCGTTTTATTGTCATTCAAAAATAATCCATTATTAAACATCCACTGTCTGACAACGTGTATGCAAGCCTCCATAGCTGACAGGGCAAATTCCTGACTACCAGTTTCATCTGGACATCATCAGCATAGCACTGAATTCTTGGGTGATGAGCATTGACGATGTCGAACAACTGACTAGTGTACAAGATAAACAATAAAGGACCTAAACATGACCCTTGAGGAACACCCCATTCAAGAATACGTTTATTAGATAGTTTACCATTGACCAAAACCCTTTGAGATCTACCACTCAAATATGAGTTAAACCAGTTGAGGGCAGTGCCAATAAAACGTGACTGGAGTAAACTCAAAAGAACATCATGATCTAATGTGTCGAAAGCTGCACTCAAATCTAATAACACCAGAAGTGTAACTTGTTTCCTGTTCATGGCCATCAACAAATCATTTTGAACTTTCAATAAAGCAGATTGAGTACTGTGATATTTACGATAAGATGACTGCATAACTGGATATAGATTATTCCGTGTCGGATGAGACTGCAATTGATCAGCAACGACCCTTTCCA